AGTGACTCCGAACACGAAATTCCATTGGCGATGCAAAATTTAAGACAAACTCTTTGATCGATATTTGTGTCCATTATGAAATTCACAATATACATTATATATGATATTTCTGAAACCAGCGCTGTATTTAATATAAATAACAGATGCAACTCAAACTCCGCGCCAAAATGGAAAACAGTTGTGCCAATCTAACAACTACATAAAAACAAAAATTTGAATTTGGAACCATAAACAAATCATCCATTCCCGATACTTTTTTGAGTGAATGTAGGTATATGCGCATCACAAAGTACCTATTTATTTAGTTCTGAAAATAAAAATAGAATAAGATCATTATAAATGAAAATACCCGCCTATTGGGTTTTTTCCCACATAAAAACCGGGTTTTTTCCCAAATGGGAAAAAACCTGGGTTTTTTCCCTTTGGGTTTTTTCCCAGTGCCCATCTCTACCGGTATATGACAATAGTAGCTTCATTTCCTAGGACACGGAAAGGTGACTTATAAGACAAGTAGTGGAAAGTGGGTGTTACTGTGTTTTATGAACTTTTGTGCATAACCTTTCGGGGTCTTGGCCTGAAACCTTGACCAAGAAGTTTTTTTTATGGAATAAGCCGGTATATAAGCAGACGTATCACCTGATGCTAAGCAATCGGTGTCGACCATGGACTGCCAAAACACTGGAGGGGTTACAAGTGTGTTACCGGCCTTTTGTGGATTAGGAATTTGGAACCTCACTCACACGACGAAGCACATCGCAAGCGTTGTTTCTCGTCTGTTTTCTATGAGGCCGTGGTATCACTCCTGTCGAGCGGGCCCATTCGTGCTGAAGCATTGCTCTCGCACGCTTAATAATAATAATAAGAAATAATATACATGTTTCGATAAATATTTATCTTTTTAGATTTAACGTGGGAGTCCCGGCGACTGTCAAACTTTCGAAGGTGACTCACTATTATCAAAATTACGTCTCTCTTAGCTTCTATTTATTTGACCTTCCTCTATCAACTGATAAATATTCATAAACAAACCATTTACTTCAATATGGAGATTACATTATGTCCAGTTATCGGATTTATTCATAAAACAAATATTTTTTTTGTTGCAAAACTTTATCTTGTTTCATTTGAATTTATTGTTCGCAAAAGAGTATTTAATAAGATACGGTTAAGTAAAATTATGGAATATTTTTAAATTATCCATTATTATTGAGAGTTTTTTTTAAATCTGACAGTGGGTCTAACCTAGGCTGTTGTTGCAATAAGAACTAGCAGCTAGCATCTGGACATACCTTTATAAGCTTGTCAAATATTGTCATAGACTTAAGACGAAAAGTTGACGACGCTTTAAACATTTTTGAAAGAAAAGCCTAGGAGGAAGAAAAATTCCGAATTATTTTCTTAAATTTGAAGTTACCAATAATGTGTATTCCATTATGGCCTTTGTTTGGCAATACTATTAACTGTCATTATTGTGTAACACCATATTCTATGACTAAGGAAAGGTAAGTGAACCTTTTTAAACCGCCTTCATTTGTTTTTGCGCTGTCCGGGGAAAAACAGACCACGTCTTATGTAATAGTGAGTAGACCACTTCAGATTAATTTATAGTGTGTTGCGTATTATTTACATTATTACAAAACAATAGATAGTAAAAAGATGTACACACGTCTATTAGATCTTGAAAGAGAGGAGAATGGCCAAAAAAAATATAACCAATGCTCACTCCGTTGTGAGTAGCAATAGATATTAGCGTAGCTAGCTTAGATATAAAACAATTTCCTAAAAACCCCTTTTTTGTTGAGAAATCTTTACGGAGCCCCCTCGCCTTCGCGCCTTGGCGCCATCGCAGAGGATGAAAGGGACTGTCAAACTCTTACTGACGACAATCCACCCCAGTGTCCTACCTCACACGTGGGTACGAGAGTGTGGGAATGTATTACCCTTTCCTAAAACACTAAAACAAAAAGTGTTAACAGTTATAGTGCCATTATCGAATCTAAAGACTAAGTTTCCTCAATATTTTTTAAAAATAACACAGTTAAATATGTTTTTATAATAACTATCGTGAGACATACTAACTACACACTCACGTGAGTAGGAGGGGTTCTTCATGAGAGATTCACGTGAATAACCACCGTTAAATATATTTTCCAAATTGATATAGGTACTTTATTGCTTCTTGCATCGACCATTGTTTTTGTCTCTGCATCACGCAAATATCTGGCTGGAAAAGCATGCCCATGGCATTAAACTCACCTTGTAGGTACAGTAATATGAGCATTCAGCCATTTAAAAAAAAAATAAAAAAAAATATACCTACTGACTTAAGTTACAGTACTTACATACTGACGAGGCTTATTACGTTTGGTTTTATGCACGTGTGTTCATGTATTCTCACGTGAATGAGGGAGGATAAAATCAATAAAATGGCCTCGCACGGAAAAGAAAATCTATATTTTCCTCTATTTTTTATCTTTAAGTAATTTTACAAGGGTATTGCAAGTATGTAGACGTGTATACGTAGCTATACGTACTCATGTTTTCCTTTATATTGTCTTCAAAGCCACTCGCTTTTCCAATAGGTTCTTCCATCTTTTTGTAGGTAATTGGGTAAAGCAAGTTGTATCTATTTGGTTACGGTAAATATCTATGTATGATGTATTTAGGAAAATCCAAGTGGTACATTAAGTTTTATTAGTACCCATAAAATTTTGTAATTATATTTGGAATCACGTGTATGAATTACATAACACGGGTATTTATGAATCATCATAGCGTGAAACATATTATAATGGTCGGTATGCAGTTGATAAATATGTTATTAATAAGAGATGGCAATCTGCCCATCATTAGGAACAGTTCTACCAACATTTGTTTAAATCTATATTAAAACTGATTAAGAATACTAAACGAGGAAGTTCTGCTAGTGACCAATAAACGAGCAGCAGCATCATCACCCTTATCACCCGACTACGGCGAAGCCAAAGGAAGGGTTATGATTTTGATCGGTATGTTTATGTGTATGTGAATCTGTTCCATCCTAACTCCTAAACTACTGGTCATAATTTGATAAATGGGGTATCATTAGAAGCGTCTCATTATTTAGCTGGGTTATTTCATGTAGGCGTGGTTTAAATGTAATTCCTAAACCAAAAGTTAGGATAATCCGGAGCTGCGGACGACTTTAACTGATTATCAGGGCTTCGCCTCGAAGCAGGAGTAGGAACAGGGTGATGTATAGTCAGTTAGAGTCTGACACTCCCTCTAACCTCCCCCAAGGCGGGAGCAGTTATGGATGATATTCTCTCAAAATGAGAGTTCTTTATTTAGGTTGATTGATTGTGAAGATTGATATAATGAGTGTTGTCAGTGTACTGGAAACTTTTCGCGATCGCTGTCATCATCATCATCGTACCATTATGTATAGAAATACACGCTATTTTCTATGTCAAATGAAATCAACTTACTTGTATCCAATGTCACCCCAATCCAGGCTGTTGTGATACCTCTGCATAGAGCGCATTTTCGCTGAGCAGTCTTCCTTGTCGTAGCAGGCTCCTGGCAAGTACGTGTGATGGAGTACCACGAACGGTACAGGGTGATTCAAAGGCCTTATGTCTGCAGAAGGTTCGGCACCCCACTCATCCCGGCTTACAAATGGGAACGAATAACCATTGTCTGCAACAAAGAATCGATTATCCATCTTAGTACTTTATGATAAGGTCCTAATTTAGGTGGTTGAACTTTATCGGTTAATTGTTTAATGTTATCTGTGTATTAATTGTTGTTCTATTACGTTTGTATTGATAGTGGTCATTGTGATTAGCTGCTTTAACTTTTTTTATTGTTTTCGTGGTCAATGTTAGTTTTTTGTTGTTTTACTAACAATGGTTATGTTATTGTGACTTATTTTGGACTCAAAAAATTTATGTCATTTGTAATTAATTAAAGACTAAGAAGAGATGCACCCGGTTGCAGATATGTTAAGGTTATGGTAGCAACAAATATCTCTATTTTAATTTATGTTCATAGTAATTTATGAGATACTACATAAAATGTTTTTACAATTACTTAAAATATGGCAGATGATGGTGGAAAACTATATCTAGGTGTAAACTTTTCCATATCATATCATATTTGCTTTGAAAAAATAATTTTGTATAATCTGGTGCATAATAATATTTTCATGTTTTAAATATTAATTTATGTCAAAACCTTTTTACTGTGACAATTGTTAATTAAATAATATGAAAGAAGGCAAAGATTTAATTATTTTCCAATCTCACACAATAACAAAAGCAAAACAAATAAACAATGAAAGAAAACAAACAAATAAACCACTTACTGTTGGTAATAAATCTGGGCGACGCATACGCAGCCACGTTCATAACAAGCACAGTAACAAACACTCTGAGAAACGCCATATTGCAATAATAAATTAATTAAAATATAATAAATTTTATTCAGTACACTAGTGCAAGTTCGTCCAAGCTTGGCTTGTAGACCTATGCGCTGCTCAAGCGCACGCGTTCTTTATAAGATACGTTTCAAACCCGCGGTACTTACCCACCGAAGTTCACCGATAAGCGATTGGTCATACGCGAAACTTTTGTGTATTATTTAGTTATTGAAGACGGACTCGATTTTTGGAATTAGGGATTCTACACGTTGACAAATTTAACTTAAAATTGTGATTCAGTGACAGTCGAATGAGGAAAATGAGAAATGAGTTCCTATAGTTGATGGAAGTGTTGAATCTTTATAACGTACAAGGGATGAAAATGAAAAAATTAAAATCTTAGTAGTAGCACGGATTTTGGAATTGTGCCCGGTATATGGCAATGGGCTCACCCCCCTATTACATGGGACTCGTAACATAAATAGTGAAAAGTGGATGTACATTGTACAGTGGCATAATGTGCACCTCTGCCTACCCCTTCGGGGATAAAAGGCGTGATGTTATGTAAGGGATGAAACCACCGTTGGAGTAGGTATCTTTCTGGGCTATTTTTGGGTTAGGTAAGAAATATTGGGTATTTATATATGTTAAAGTTTTTTATTGAACTAAGTTTAGAACTGTGCAGTGGATGTAGACGTCATTACATGGACTTATGCAATTACATGATTGGTGAAAACAATTTATACAGTATCACACCCACTTTTCACCATTCTATCTCTCATGTAGTAGGTAACAGTTCATCCCCTATTTCACAAGGCACATAGATATGTATTTGCCATATACCGCTAAACCTACAAATATTTCAAATGGCAGAAAACACCCTGTTACATTGTGCAAGATTCGGTAATTAATACCCTTTCTTGCCTATCATAATTGTAACCACTAGAAGATAATAGGTTATTTAAAAAGTATTTCTTTTCCTTACTTTATTAAATGTAATATAATTTTAAGTAACTATAATTAAGCTTGTTAAATATTTCAGTTATTGTTACATAACATCTGACCTTTGATCTCTACATTATTTAAACAGTTCGTAATCTTAAAGTATTTCACTAAAAAAGTTAGGTATCAACAAAATTTATCGATTGTTAATTAAAATGTGGTTAAAAAGTGGTGATAATAATTGTAATAAATCAAGTCTTTGTATATGATTTATGGTTATGAAAAAAAATATAAATGCTCAATCTCGTTAATTTAATTAGATATACGCCACAGAATAACGCTTGCAAATTAATTGGATTCTAGAATAATGTAGAACAGTATTGTTGTTCTAACAAAGCCGGGTATTAATTTATTGCTCATTATTTGAGACTGTTCCGTAAATTTCTAAAGAAGTTGCACAAAATTGTCATTTATTTTGCACCAAAAATGTGATAGTACTGGTCCTTTATTTTGTATTTTCGGAAATATCGACATGAAAAGTTGAACCCAAGATTTTATACTCACCGCGGAGAACTTAACGGTTTACTGGGGCTCCGGCTTGAAGTGCAGGAGTAAGAACGGGGTGGTTTTTAGTCAGTAAGAGTTTGACACTCCCTCCCGCCTCACCTAGGTGGAACAACCCCTCCCCAGACGGGGCAGGACTGTCTAGAAACTAAATACTTGACAGGAAATCCCAAATTCCAGCAACAGCTTTTTTAAACTGATTAACTACTTATTTGGATAAAAACGACTCTTTTGTTTATTGTGCATAAGTTCTGTTTAGTTAAGTGTACTTAAGCACATGAGGTGCTTAACTTTACTGAACTTCAATACAGATAAAAACAGGTGATTTAGTTGATTTGAGATTTATCTTCTTGTGGGATTCTGTGCCCAGTTACCAATGATTTTCGAAGATGGCGACCTATCACGTCCGGCTGTGGTTCAGACCATAATACGGAGCGAGGGGTACTGGGAAGCTGCATGCCGTCTCCACCTTCTGCGAAGCAGTCATACTAGCTAAGGAGGAGGCTGGGCGGGTGAGGGAACGAATCTCCTCACGCCCCAGCCGTCGCGAGAGACACTCCGGGCGTCGAGGATGGTGAGACGATCTCCGGGCAACGTAAGCACGGGCCTGCATACGGCAAGCATGAGTAACTCGTCGGCCGGTCAGAACCAGACCTCAGTGTACGGTACGTCGTGTTCCGCGTGCGCCTCAAAGAGCTGTCAGACCACCACAGATGGGACCCCAGTAAGGCTGATACTGGCCATATATGAGAAATAAGAACGGGGTGGTTTTTAGTCAGTAAGAGTCTGACACTCCCTCTCGCCTCACCTAAGGCGGGAGAAGTCATTGGATGGTTTTCGTCCCTCAAAAAAGGCAGCAAAGATTTTGGGACTTAAAAATTTTGACTCCAAACTTGTTTCTTCTAAAGATTCTAGTAACCGTCATAACATAGACACCAAAAATTTGTATAGAGATTCTAGCAATAATCCATATCATGCGTCAAAGTTATCTGCTTAACGGTAACGATTTCTACACTATAAAATGAAACCCTCAACCATCAAAAAAGCCAGTTAATAATTCACAATAGGTACTAGCCCAGTAACCTACTTAACCAAATATTACACATATGTACTTTTTTGTAGGTAAACCCCTTTTATCCATCCTACCTATCGTCGTCATAATCCTGAATTTTGATATCTCTGAAAATGTGCAATCGAATTCTTGTGTTTTCAAAATATATTATCAAGTTAAAGCTAACTACCGTAGACAGTTTTTTACGCATTTCGTATGCGAAAATATTTTTATCCAAGTGGACAAAAAATATTTAAAGTAGGTAGAGTACTTAAAACTTACGTTTGACATAATAAACCTCCTAATAAATATGACTCCAAAGCAAAATATTCAGCATAATTGGCATAATCGCACACAGTAAAGGCACTGACACGACACGGCTCCGGCATGGCGTTTTTTCTTATGTAGAGGTACAGCTTTTTCGTAATGACGTTATGAAAAATATGTCATATAACATAAGCTTTAATGTTCAAATTTAAATGACAAGTTAATTGCTTGGTTGGGGCTGTGCCGGTTAATTGTAATTTATGACCTTTTGATCAATTAATGATGACTTGAATTATATTCAGTTTCTGTTAAAAACTAAGGTCGATTCAGAGATGTTTTGTTTAAATCGGTTATTAATTTCAGCTGCTAATCAGACACTGTCTATTCGTTATTCGGGCTACCTAACGGGTTGCCGGGGCTCCGGCTCGAAGTACAGGAGTAGGGTCGGGGTGGTTTTTAGTCAGTAACAGTCTAAAACTCCCTCCTGCCTCAATTAGGCGGGAGAAGCGTTCGATGATTTTCCCCCCTTAAAAAAAACCTTCAGATATATTTCTACCTTAAATCAAACATCATGAAAGAAGGCCTAACTTATTTATTTATTTATTTAAGTAATTGCATAAACTGGTCTACGTTTAAGCAATTTGTTTACAACTACAACGTACATATGTACATTTAATAAAGCTGTAATCTTAATCTCGACAGGCCACCATGGCCTCAATGGAATGAAGTAAAAATAAGGTTGAACGCTCTGGGGAAGAACATAATTGTTCCAACGTACTATGTGAGTTACATGTATGCCAAAATAACCCTTATTAATATACAGGTTAGGTAGCATTTTGAATTACGGTGACAGCTCTTTTATTTATTTAGCTACTGTAGATATTTGAAAATTTCAAACCTCTTTGTACTATGTAATTTCACTGCCGAGTGGTCGCAAGTGCGACTGCCGGGCAAGGGGTCTCGTGTTAGATTCCCGGGTCGGGCAAACTATTGTTGGGTTTATAAAATAATTTTCAGTAGTAGCACGGAGTTTGGCATTATGCCCGGTATATGGCAATATACCTACTCACCCTCTATTGCATTGGACTTATAACATAAATAGTGAAAAGTGGGTGTCATATTGTACAGTGGCATAATGTACACTTCTGCCTACCCCTTCGGGGGTAAAAACCGTGATGTTATGTTGTAGGTGTATACAAAAATTTGTCAAAATAGTTTCCTCAATTGTTTTGAGTCTACGAATGCTTAAATAAATAATTAATACTCACGGACTTTACCAGTAACTACATTATATACCTTATATACCTAGATTAGAGACTACTTTTGTGTGGACAAATTTCGGGGGATGAATTTCAACGGGTTAAAGGAATTTTGCGATTTTTTGTCAATATTTGTCGTCAATATCTTCTGACAGATAGTAATCGCAATATCAGTATTGTTTTAATTAGCACCTAACTGCTTTATAATAGGTACTTAATGTCCGAATTAATGTGTTCTTATAGAAAAATTACCTTTTGTATTTCTTTAATGTATTGTTTATAAATCTGTGGTTTTAATTGTTCTAGCTAACCATTATCTAGCTCGCTATTATGACTGTTGTTACATACCTCCTTACCTACATGTATCTTACTAATATTTGTGAGTTTGTGTGTGTGTTTGTCTGTATGTGTGTTAGTCAATCACGTCAAAACGGCTCAAGGGATTGTTATGAAATTTGGCACAGGGATAGATTATGGTTTAAAATAACACATAGGCTACTTTTTTTCTCACGGGAACGTGGGCGAATCCGCGAGCAGAAGCTAGTTTAAGGTTTTATATATTATACCTATTTTAGATTGCTGTAGAATAAAAGTTTGTACAATGAAGGTTTCAAAGTCACAGTCAATGGAAAAACTTCGTTGGTATTTTTACCCCACCATTAAGTAATACAATGACGTTAATTATGATATAGGTGCAAAATGACACTAACGACTTAGGTTCTCTACCTAGGATAGATTGAGTGGCACTTATTATCTTTTAATAATAATATTTATCCAATTTGGTGTAATATCTAATTTTCAAGTTGTGGTATGACATGGGATAACAGAGATTTGTTCTACGGTTTATTTTAAGAATAAGGACTCATGGCGCGATATGCTCCCACGCCCACCGCGGCTGCGGGCCTGCAGCCTTTGTAGAATAGGTACAGATATGTATGTAAATGCAAAAATGTAAAAATCAAAACATTTTTTCATTTTTTTCACGGCGCGTTTTACGCCCGCGATGGTTACCTACGACTGTTTGCGGCTCCCCACT